ATCTTCACCCGTCAGACTACAAATTGTATTTCAATTTTTTGCAGCCAAACACCTTTATATTGATTACAGCTTTTCCACTTTAAGTTGTGAATGGGAACATTTCAAGTGTTTATAATGCCTTGTTCACACCAAATGCAGAGCAGACCAGCTCAGGTTTCTGCACATGCATTGCAGTGGGTTGTGCCACGTTCCGGGGCCGTTTAAAAAAAAAAGTTTTTTTCTATCAGTTTAACATGGGCTTTCAGTGCGTTCCAGGCATTTGAAAGCGTTTTTGATGCGTTCCATGGAACTGCACGCTGCAATGTGAACTGGAGCAAAAAATAACATTGGAATACATTGGACGCAGTTTTGATCCGGTCTGCAACTGCTCTGCGCTTGGTGTGAACAAGGCCTTAGACCAGCAAGCAAAAATCAGGTCAAAAAAAGTTTTGTCAAAGGCACCTTAATAGGACTTGTTGGGGGGGCTGGCGCAGCTGAGGGACACGGCTGATCCAGTTTTGACCATTTACACTGAGGGGAATTTATCAAAACCGGAGCAGACAAATATTTGGAGCAGCTTCTCTGTTCAAAATAGGGATAAGGGAAAATTCTAAGTGTCCAAAATCTGGTAGCCAACCAGGGTCATGGATACACCTGTTGTGGAGGTGCCTGAAACTAAAGTTACTGGCAAGAAATACTGGACAAAATTTACATAATTTATGGGGTGAAAATTATGAATAATCCATTGACATGTATACTGGGTGTATATGAATCTTTAAATATGGAATATAATGAAAAGTTGGCAATATAATGAAAAGTTTGTGACTTGTCAAATCATAGCATGTAAATGGACTTCAGCAGTGAACCCTACCAAAGCGAAGAAAGACTTGAAAGTGGTTATGTATGAGAAAATAGTCAAAATACTGGGGCACCCCAGACAAACATGGCAAAAAGGGAATGTATACAATGTTATGGTATAGATACAGCAGGGGAACATTAATAGATGAACAAGTCCAAGAAAAGAGTGATTGTAATATGCATGTGGTTCTCTATGCATAAATGTATAGATATATTTGGAATATCCTTAGGTTTAAGATGTCTATAAAAGGAAAGTTATTTTTTTTTATGGTGTACCGTACACCAAGTAAAAATGATATGCTCACTGAAATGAGCCACTTTAAAGTGGGAACAACTTTAATACAATTCTCTGCAGGTGTACATTGCCAAGTGTCGCATTTGTTAGATTACCATCAACTTTTTCTAAAATGCCCTAAATAGGCCTCTTTAGCAAGTACACTGACCTCACATTACGTTTGATGACCAGCATCGCAGACCATTCCTTGCAGTCAGTCAATCATGTAGGCACATCATGATCGGCAACAGATATTAACCTGAAAAATAAAAAATTAAATATTAAAACCCATATTATAAAAAAAAACCTGCCAACATGTTAACACAGACAAGTCAAATTATTTACAAAATGGGAAAAATGTCAGGCTCTGCTCTTTACAAAAATACTACTTTCTTGCATGATGGTTGCCGATGCTTCCCTCAATTGTTAATATATTAAAGAGGAACTCCAGATTAGGTGTTGCCCTCAACAGTTTTACTAAAAGATTTGCAAGTCTGTTCAGGCAAACTTGTGATTAACGTTACCCTGCCATGCTGCCCAGCAAGGATATGATCCCACTTTCTAGTCTAGCTTTGCAGATTACAGTATAATCTCTACCTTCAGCCTCTTACTGCACAATGAATCAGCACCTCTGTACAGTGAGTAAGGGTACTGCCAAGAAATTTTCTTCCCTGCAGTGCGGCTAGATATACCAATTGCAAAGCTGAAAAGAATGACAAATCCTCTCCAAAGCAAGCCAGTTCACATATCCATTTCAAATGTATTTGGCAGTTCTCCAGAGTTCCACTTTAACAAAAATGTTACACAGTAATAATTATTTTACAGAAAAGCAGCTTGAAGGCCTGATTGCCATAAATATAAGGCATGTCCACAATCACTTAGCTTGGACTGTAGTCCATCACTGCACATGCACATTAATGAGATCTATAAGAAGGGTTTGAAGAACTTGTCAATAAAAGGCTATTTTAAGTTATGAAAGTGTACTGGACTGGAATATTCCATCAATTCAGATTAAGCCAGCTAGACAAACGGTTTGCTTAACATTTTTTCCCCCAGCACATAGTAAAAAGGCTTTAAGATTTGGGGTTACTTGAAGACTGGAGGTGGTGCAACTAAGGCATACTAGAAAAATTGTTCCCAGTAAAGGGGATACACAGCAACACTAATATGACAACCTAATATTGGTGTGAAGGAGGCAAAGAAATCACAGGCACAACATGAGCTTGAGGAATAGGTATGGACATGAGCAAAAGAGTTACCTCCAATTACCAGACTAATTCCGCATATGAACTAGCCATGAGCAGCTTTCGACAGGCTCCACAGGATGCACAACACTTGACTTCTCCAAGGAAACTGCAACTTCTGTACTTTAATAGAGGATTCTCAGTGGCAACAGTATTTTACCATCTAATACGGTGTATGAAAAGCTTGGCTAGATCACTAACAATCCAGAAAATAACTTGGTATGGAATACAAAAAAATTGTACAAAGAAAAGGGTGTTTTTTTTTCTTTACTTAGACAGCAAAAGGGAAATGTTTAACCAAAAACCATTAGCTTTTTTTTTAAAGTTTTATAAGAAAACCATTCTCCTTTTGTATCTTTCTGGAGTACCCAGTCTGTTCTTAATGTCAAATCCATTTTAACAAGCCTCTGCACTGTAGACACCTTGTGTGTGAACAGGTTACATTTGTAGTTAGTGAGATGAGACCTTTGGCTGCTATGTCTGGTGGCAGGCTATACCACCATACATTAACATGCTTTCTTCATATACATTCTAAATAGGCAGCCTCACTACATTTGAAGACTACTATATGTGGCAGCATATTGGATAATTTGTGTGTTCCTAAACCGGCTTTTCTTTGCTACTGTGAGCAGTATGTGAAAGCTGAACTCCAGGATGAGCTTAAATTTAATATAAAAATTGTAGAAATATCACCAGCACACCAGTCCTTTTAGGATAGCAAAAGCTTAATTCATTGAAGTTTTTTGTCATATGACCTAACAAGTGCTTTCGGGACCGCACAGGGTCCATTCATCAGGCTTCAGCACTGACTGATGAAGGGACTGTGTGGTCCCGAAAGCGCTTGTTTGGTCATAGGACAAAAAACTTCAATAAATGAAGCTTTTGCTATCCTAAAAGGACTGGTGTGCTGGTGACATTTCTACAATGTTGCTGACATTCGCGGCGCCATCCGCAGTCACCCCCCACTACAAGCGACATAATTGGTAAGGAGTGCAACAAGCATAGTACTTGAAATTTAATATAAAGATCTCTCTGGTTTTGCAAAAAAAAAAAAAATGCTCAGAAATGATACCAAGAGATGAACAAAATTCTTTAGTTTTATCTCCCATGACATTACTCTGAGGCATCCTACATCACATACCACACGTTGGACATGCCTCACAAAACGTGTTCCATTGTCCTTTGAAATTTATTCCTAGCATGATTGATTCTCTACTCCCCGTAATCTCCAAAAAAAGCACCCGCCCCCGGACAGGCAGGTTAAGAGTCCCGTTGCTGCCCACATAACCACACACCCGGTCTGGCAGCAAACTCTGCAATGTTGATTTGTCAGCATCTGACAGAAGTCGGCTCTGTGGCTGTGAGGTGCAGCACAGCAGGACTAGAATGTGATTTAAATTACCTTTACTTGAGCTAGGGTTTGAGGGGTTAACATTTCTACTTGCTTATTTCTTTGCAAAGTTAGGAGAGGCTGTGAGGATCTGAAGTGGCTGCTCCATTGCATGTTAATTATAGGAGCGAGAAAATCTTCAATTCCACTCCTAAGCCTTTGGACTGGCCCAGGAGAGCTCCCCCAAACCTCCCTCCTTCAGACCCCTCTGCTGATTGAGTTTGAAAAAGCCAATAGCTGTGTTTCCATTCAGCTGCTGGGGCTGTCATTCCCTGACAGAAGCCATTCAAGCACATGTGCACTTGTGGCAGCAGGCAGTGGACAGGTGCAATAGCCAGCCTGCTATTAGCTATTGCAATTTAAAACAACCAATAATAGGCTGGCTATTGCTACAAACCACTGCCTGCTATGTTGACATTCAGCTGCCTCAGCAGCTGAATCAAATGAAGTGTAAAGGGGACACTAGGGGCCTAAAAGACCCCTAATGTCAGCTTAAAGAGAACATGTCACCTCCAATGTGCCATCACATAGGGGGCTTGTGAAAAAATCAAATCAAAGTAAAAAGTTGGAAGTCATTCCTTTTTGGCCTAAAATTTTGCTGCAGGAGGTGCATCTCAATGGCACCCCAAACTCTGCTCCAACCTACAGTGCGATCACCTGCACTGGAACTCACAGTACTGCAATTCCAGTGCTATGTAAATTGCAAAAACTCAGTGTCTGAGTTTTTTTTTAAAACAATCGGCCAACTAATCAATGAAAAGTTAGTTGCAACCCTACACACACTAAGGGTACGTTCACACCATATGCAGTGCATTCTGGTCTGGCATCACGGACGGCTCACTTTTTTGCTGCGCAGGAGGGGGCGTGGCAGGCCATTGCAGTGAATGGCACTGTAGCCACGCCCTCTGGCCGCAATGCGATTGCCCGCACGGGATCGCAGGGCACATTGTGCCTGCGGTCCTGTCAAAATGCTGCAAGCAATATTTTGACCGGAGGCCCAATGTGCCCTGCGATCCAGTGTGGGCGAAGGGAGTGACTACGGCACCATACACTTCAATGGCCCGCCATGCCCCCTCCTACCCAGCAAAATATTGAGCTGGCCGCAAAGCGTTCCGGCCGAAATCAGACCGGAACGCACACAGTGTGAATGAACCCTTAACGTATTATCTGGAGTTCAGCTTTATGCACAGCACAAGTTCTCAGGTGAAATCTAATTCAGATGCTATACAGATGAGCAAAACTAAACTAATTTTCCAAGACAAAATACACCTTTAACATCTTATGTCACATCCATGTTGTGCAGAAGGTAAATGTCAGAAGCACTTTTGTTTCAGATGGTCTTTTAATAGGCTTCGTGAAGCCAAATGAAGAGTACATGAAATTCGTAACCACTTTGATACAATATCGTCCAGTAAAAAAGTGACAATATGAACAAATTGTTTCAAGAACTTTGGGTAAACATTACTGGAGAGATTGGGAAGGAGGATGTTCTCTTTAGGTATATCAAGGAGGAAAAGCCACTATTTACAACACACCCTGGCTCCAAGCTACCTTGTTACACTAAAGGAATGTCTTCAAAGTAATAAAAAAAATAAGCATGTGGGGCCCATTAACCCCTGCTGTATGTACAGCAACAGGCATCTCAAAAGCCCAAGTTGCAGCAAAAATCCAGTCCAACAGCAAACATCAAGAAGCAATGTCAACGAGTGTTGCTGATGGAGTAGATCCCCTCCAATGCACTCCACATAACTTAAATTAAACTTCTGAAATTCGCCTCAAGGAAACAGCCAATGACAAGGAAAGTTCCTGTCACTTTTATAAACATTATAAAACAAAAAAAGAGTGCCAAAAATAAAAGTTAATAAAAGCAGATATCCCAGGTCAAAAACCTATAGGGACCGCTGTTTCACAATGAGGCAGTGATCAAGTTTTTATAAAAAGTGAAAACAAATAGAAATACTACATAACGATTCAGCGAAGCTCCAAAAATCTTTATAAATACAGCCATTGGAAGGACGATCTTGAGTCAGGAAGGTATTTTAGTCGTGTGAGGCTGAGGACAAGAAGCAGGCACAGTTGTAAAGACACTTGAAGACGTCAGATCCCAGCATTACACCCCTACACTAAGCCCAACCCACAAAGCCCACTGCTAATAGTGTTTGTAGAATTTAAATACTTGATAGCAACACTTGCACGCATGCATTTGTTGGGCTGCTGAGACTAATTCACAAGCCCTTCCAGATATCACTATGAGTAGTTAGGTCCCCAAAAGTCTCACATTACACCCCTCTGCCAGGACTTACCATAGCTGTCATAACCGTCTCTGTAGGAGCTTCCTGAGCGATCACCATAGCTTTGACTCCTCCCACTAAGAATCAAAAAAGAAAAATAAAAAACCAGAACTAGTATTCAATGACTGGCATGCAAAAACCTTCAAAGTAAACTTACCCGCCATAATAATCCCGGGATCCACCACCATAGCCTCCACTCCTGCTGCTGCTGCTGTCAAAACGGGTGCTTCCATAACCACGGTCACTACCACCTTAACCACGGAACAAAAATATACTTTACTTGGTTCTACTATAGCAACACAGAAAAACTTCATTTAGCAGCTTCAGCTAAGCAACCAGTTGCCCATTTATGAAAGATATGCAGAGAGCACAGTCTGAAAAATCTAGATGTCTAGCTCCAAATTGTCCACTACCGTTTTGATAAAAGTGCCCTCAGTATATCTGTGAAGCAATGCTATACAGTAAGAAAACTACCTGTTCCTGACAAATCAAGAGAGCTCATCTTTCTCTAACACACAAACTGCATTGCATCTCCTACACTAAAAAAATTCCAAACATTGATGTCAGACCTGTATCAATTTAACAGATAATCGGAGAATCGAAATTATAGATGAGCTGATTGTTTCATAGGCTCCGTGTCCTTTCTGATCTCTGCTGCTCCCAGCAGGGATGGGAGGGAACACAGATGCGAGGACAGCTCCGTAGCTCAATTTCCCCCCAGCTTCACCCCTCCCATTCTCCTCCTCACAGGGAGCCACTGTATGAAGGACACAAGACTGCTGCAGCCGACACCCAGTGGGGAGGAGATACTGCCGCCAGAAATGCTCCTCAGTGACACCTCCCCCCACCACCCATAGACTTGTGGCCAGCAGTAGAAAGCATCCAGTGCCACCACAGAAGTCAGCTTGAAAATGAAAACCAATACTTCTGACACTACAAACTGCCTGCATTCCTAGCACTGATTTATCATAGGTTTTCAAATGAGGCTCTAAGTGCAGTTAAATATGCAAACTCCATACAAAATATTTTCTCCACTTATAGGTGTATTACACACCTTCAATGCCCCTACAGCCAAAAAGTATTAAAGCATTATTAAACACACCACGACCTCTGCTTCCACGGAAGAACCCTCTTCCTCCAGATGAGCCGCCTCTGTAGCCTCCTCGTCTTTCACCGGAGGACTTTCCTGCCTGATCAACCCGAATCTGACGCCCATCCACGGACTAAGAATAAAAGTAAGGATTGTTGCATTAGTAGGTAGGCAAAAAATTATACTGCAGTTTAAAGTTCCTTCATACACTACAATGGCTGTGGCCCTTTTCACAAAGGCCTTGAAACAAAAATACTTGTCCTGACCCTAAGGCCTTGTTCACACCAAATGCAGAGAAGATGCGGTCAGGTTTCTGCACATGCACGCTAGTCTTTTAGATCCGTTTTTGGCTAAAAAAAGTTGTTTTTTAAAGCTTAACATGGGCTTTCAGTGCGTTCCAGGCATTTGCAGATCCAGAGCAGGTAAAATAGGGCTTGCTGCAGTTTTTTACCTGCTCTGGATCTGCACGCTGCAATGTGAACTGGAGCTAAAAATACCATAGGAATACATTGGACGCAATTCTGATCTGGTCAGCACCTGCTCCGCGCTTGGTGTGAACTAGCCCTAAAGCTACGAAATACACTTGTAGATGTAGATGTTTTCTTTCAGCTTTTGGGCTGAAGGGATAAAATCCTAACAGATTCCTGTTTAGTATGGATGAGGGGAAGAATCTCCCACTAGCAATTGCATTGACAGACGGCCATATCTGCATTTGATTGGACACAAGTGCTGTTGGGTTCACAATTTTCTGCCAAACTCCTACGAATCTTCAATCTAAGGATATCAGTGTGAGTACATAGACAGGGCCACCCACTTAGAAAATGTCAGCTGCTTTACAAAGAACTTGCCAAAATTTGCTCAGTGCATAGCCAAACTAGTTTGAAGAGCTAATCTTTCCTAGAGATGTTCAGTGCCACTGTGCATTGGGTCGTTAACCTCTACAGAGATAACAGTAGCAACAGAGCAGCCCCTGTAGAGGACACAAGGGTGCAGTGGGGATGCCAGCATTTGGCACTCCAGAAGTCTTTGGATGCTGAGCATAAGGAATCAATGCACAAGTGAGGGGGAATGCATCTCCCACACCCAGCAATTGTGCTAGATGCTGGGGAGCTTTCAACCATAATCACTTTAACTTAGCAAAGTTCAGTGCCACAGGACAGGGTTGTCTAGCTGCAGCATGGGGAAAAAACCCCCAATAAAACAAACTTAACTTTAATAACCGCACAAGCTTCCCTCGTCTAGCTATTCTTTCTTGGGTATATTTGTCCTTGTTGGTTAGCCTATATTGTTTAGAATGTTATAAATATTTTAGCTCTTCTAATCATGCTGTATCCAATACTACATGTGTTCTATTGTCTGCCTTGTTTTCCATTGAAAAACCTAATGCACAAAATAAATAAAAGACTGCACAAGCCAACCTTAACACTTACCTTTCCATTCATTGCATCCATAGCATCCTTTGCATCGTCAGGATTCTCAAATGTGACAAAACCAAATCCACGAGATCTGTTGGTTTCCCGATCTTTCACCACAACCACTAAAGAGACATACAAGCGTCACTAAAGCCCAGGCACGGAAAATTAAGCCATAAATGCAATTAAAATATTCATATAAGCTCACCTTCATTGACCGGTCCGTATTTACCGAATAATTCTTCTAGGCTCTGCTCGTTTGTGTCGAAGCTAAGGCCACCGATAAAAAGCTTTCCATCGTTAGACGACATGATGAGATCTGCGAGGAAACAAAATGGCGCCGGCACATGAGCCCAACGTGTTCACAAAATGGCCGCCGACCATGATTCGTCACTTTCCAGCAAGATCCTCCCCACTGCGTCACGGGCCACTACCCGGTATCAACCATCGCCGGGAATACGCGCCCAAGCACGCGGTAAAGCAGAAGCCAGGACTTCAACGCTGCTTCCGCTAACAGCACGGGAATACCCTCTCGGCACCCAACCCCGTGTACACAGATAGGAGAAACCCCATCGCCCCGCTGTACAAATAACATCACATTACCACTAAAAGAAACCGCCCGAGCATGCTTACAGTGTAAAATACACGTAGAGACCAAATAATAACCGAATCCTCCCCCGACCACCAGCGGTACATTACCTTATTCACGTACACAGAACAGAACAGTCAGGAAACAGCAATGCGGAGTGCGCAGGATTCCCCGGACTCCTGCTTATATAGCCTGTGTAGCCTCGCCCACTGTATGAATAATTAATGAGCAGGACGGACTGTACCATCTACTTCCTTCTCGACAGATGCACTTTTGTTTTTTACATATTGGTATATCAGAAATCGGGCTGTAAAAACAATCACGTTTTATGAATGTAATAAAAGGTTACCGAATAAATTACGTTACTCGTTATGGTTTAATCAGTAAATTCCTCCCCCTCTAGCTGCTGAATACGCGCGGTCTTTGCTAGGACGGAGCCGCCACTAGCGCGGGCGGAAGAGCGTCCTATCCTGTGATTGGCTGTTCATGATTAGTGCGTGAACCGGTTCTCTGAGATGCAGGAAGAAAGCGAGGACGCCATATTGTGCTTGCACAGAATTTTGGTTAAAAGCTTTGCTTATGCTATATCTTTTGTTCACGTTTTTAATTGTGTAAACAGAATTTATGAAACTGTCACTTATGTTTTAAAAGTGGCGTGGAACAATCTTTTCTGGTACAGTATAACTTCTCCAAGGTGCAAAATGGGGCTGTGGAAAAAAGAAACCATGTGCTTGCAACAAAGGAAACAATGGCAGCAGTTGCTCTTATGTTCCCTTTGGAGTAAAGTATCTTGCCTTCATCATTGTAAGAGATCACAACACTATTACAGTAGTTTTTCTGATATGATCACTCTTCCTGTGTAGTAAAAATCATTTTTGTAAGGCAATATCACAAAAAGAAAGCTTTGTTTGTCCTTAAATGTGCTTTTCCTCAACAATTCTATTTTTAAAGTCACAAATTTCCACATCTACTTCCTACCACTTGAATTTAGGAATCCCTCTAGCGCTTATATTTGATCCAGGGCAGACTCCTCGTGTCCCACATTGTCTGTCCGACATGCACGCTCCCGGCTGCGTGCATTCAGCTCCATTGTGTCTCTTTTCCCCGCTGAAGATCTCTACTGCACATGCGCCAGCTCCATCTCAAGCAGCCGTTCAGCAGGAATCTTCAGGCGGGAGCGAGCGGCGGAGACACAGGTATGTTTTTACCTTTTTGGTAACTTTAAAAAATATATTTTTGCATATATCTACTGCTTGCTAGTGATGGTCCAAACACACCTGAGTTTGGTTCTAACTCGAGCTTTAGAACATGGAAAAAGTTCTTACAAGAACTTAGAACTCAATACAATTCTATGGGACCAGAACTCGTAAAATCAAATGTCCCCATTTTGAAGGCTTATATGCAAGTTATTGGCCATAAAAAGTGTATGGGGATTCTGGTACTGCCCCGGGGGTCTGGAATCAATGAAGAAAACACTTAAGAAATACCGCTTTTAAAGGATTTTAACATTGCTTAAAGTGAAATAAAAAATTCCTTTAAATATCGTGCCTGGTGGTCCCCTTAAAAGAGAACTATGAGATGAGTGATTTCCACTCACCTCATAGTTCTAGCAGACCTGTGACAATGAGACTGTCATAGGTCGGCTCAGTAGATCGGGAGGTGAGCGAACACATACCGGGTTCGCTCACCTCTCGATCCTGTCACGGCTTTCTGCCGTGACAGGGGGAGGGGCTGGATTCCCCTCTCCGATCTGCCAGCGCTGACTTAACACAGACCGTGTTCGCCCCCCTTTCGTTCCTGTCACGGCTTTCTGCCGTGACAGGGGGAGGGGCTGGATTCCCCTCTCCGATCTGCCAGCGCTGACTGGCGGAACAGACGGGGGAGGGGGCGGGTACAGGCAGAGCCAGCTGTCACTCACGCAGCTGGGCGGATCTCGACGTCCATGTCGGGAGCCGCTCCGACTGCGGTGTCTTAGCGCGGTAGCTCGCGGTATACTGAGCTTAGGGTAATGGGAGGACGCTAGTTTGTGTCCTCCCGTTACCCTAAGGAGAACTATGGGGAAAAACACTGACCCCCATAGTTCTCCTTTAAACTGCCTGTAAAGTGGCACATCTATACGAAGTACCTTCTGCAGCAAAACTGAAATTTCTAAAGAAAAGAAAATTATAATTGAATTGTCGGTAACTTGTTTTCCCTTAAAGGGTTTCTAAACCCTTCTAGCAAGCAGTAGATATATGTAAAAAAAAACAACCCCGCTTTAAACGCGGTTTACACTTACACCTGTCTTCGCCGTGCGCTCCCGTCCGAAACTGCTCGAGCGGTGCAAAGCATCTTAGGGCGGGCGCATGCACAGTTTGGATTTTCGCCTAGGAGACGAGGAGAGACGCAAGGTAAGTCTATGGACGCGTGCACCCGCATGCAGACACTGCAGGATCGGAAGTGCCAGCAAGGACAGAGGAGTCAGCGATGGATCGGAGACTCGCCCCAGCGCTGGAGAGAAGGCTGAAAAGGACAGGAAAGAAGATCGGATTAAGAGACATCATTTAAGGTAAGTGCTTTACTTAACATTGGGGGGAGGGGGAAAAAAATTTGACTTTAATGTCACTTTAATCTTGTAATCAACTGCTTGGATAGGCACCCTGTATGAAGAGTCCACATGGTAGGACACTCGGAACAAGGTTATAGATTTTTGGATAAATTCTGGTGCCTCTTTTGCAGACGTTGAATGAAAGTAACAACAGGAGCTTTAAAATTGGGCCTTTAGTGTTGGTAGTGCCTTCACACCGTAACCCTTCAGACTAAAGCTGCCCATACACCTTACAACTATCGCACGACTTTCACTGTGTGATGGTTGTAAGGTGATTAACATTTCTTATGACCTGCCCATCTTTGACAGGCAGATCGTACTTGCGATCATCGCAAGCCCTCCCCGCTAAGTGACTGCAATGCTGAGCGGGCAGTGTGCTTTCGTCTTCCGAGCGTGCTACCAATCATTTGCGACGTATTTTCTAGCGTGCTCATAAGACGAAAGTCGTGCGACCGTACAGTAAATGCTGCGACCATACACCTGCCGATTAACGTACAATCGCGGGATCACCCGCGATTATCGCACGATAATCGCCAGGTGTATGGGCACCTTTATTCTTGGACCCTGCTCTAAACATTCAAATTCTATGCACCTGTCACACACACAGGTGTGGTAAAAAAATGGGCCTTTGGTGTTGGTGCCTCCACACTGTAACCCCTCACAGTTAAAAGGAGAACTATGAGGTGAGTGATTTTCACTCACCTCATAATTCTAGCCGACCTGTGACAATGAGACTGTCACAGGTCGGCTCAGTAGATCGGGAGGTGAGCGAACACATACCGGCGTTCGCTCACCTCTCGATCCTGTCACGGCTCTCTGCCGTGACAGGGGAGGAGCTGGATTCCCCGCTCCGATCCGCCAGCGCTGACTGGTGGAACGGACGGGGGAGGGGCGGGTACAGCTGGCTCTGCCTTTGTCACTCACGCAGCTGGGAAGATCCCGGCACAATTGTCGGGATCCGCTTCAGCTGCGGCGTCTCAGTATACCGCGAGCTACAGCTCGCGGTATACTAAGCTTAGGGTGACGGGAGGACGCTAGTTTGTGTCCTCCTGTTACCCTAAGGAGAACTATGGGGAAAAGACTTAACCCCATAGTTCTCCTTTAAGATGGCCATACACCTTACAACTTTGTTCGATGGTTGTAAGTAAAGTGATTACAATTTCGTACGACCTGCCCATCTTGGACAGGCAGATCGTACTTGCGATCATCGCAAGCCCTCCCTGCTGAGGGAGGGCTTGCCGATGATTGCAATGCTGAGCGGGCAGTGTGCGTTTGCGGCTTTCGTCTTCCGAGCACGCTACCACCCCGCCGAAAATCGTATGATTTTCGGGGGGGGTGTCACAGCTTCTTCCGAGCACGCTACCACCCCGCCGAAAATCGTATGATTTTCGGCAGGTTTACCAGCGTGCTAGGATGACGAAAGTCCTGTGACCGTACAGTAGATGCGGTCGCACGCTGCCCATACCCCTGCCGATTATCATACGATCGTATGATAATCGGCAGGTGTATGAGCACCTTTACTCTTCATGAGCGCAGGAATGGGCGCTGTTGTAAAAGATTCAAATTATATGCACTTGCCACACACCTGTCTCCTTGTTGGCCTTTCAGACATGACGTGGGGCTGATTATAACATTTTATTAGAGAATGTGGGATGAGAAATTGGTGCTTGGGTGCAATACTTTATTGCATGTGGTGCTTGGTGCACTATAAACTGTTGCACAATGGTTTATTATAAAGACAAAGAAAAAACCCGGTAACACCTGTAACAGGGAAGGGGGAACAGCAATGAGGCAGCAAAAGAACCTGCTGCTGAAAAAGAAAAAAATGTGAACACTGGTGACGCAGAAGGAGGAACACCAGCGACGCCACTGACACAAAAAAAAAATAGACAGAAAACATACAACACAGAAATAATTTAAAAAATTACGAATAAAATTAAAATTTCCCTACGTTATGTTAAAAAAAAACATTTATTCTTACCCATATTTTTGGTAAAATATAAAAGATGGGGTCACGTCAGGCATATAGACCCCAAACATGTCAAGCTTTAAAATTGTGTGCGGCCGCAAAATCTCAAAAAACGACCACATGGAAAATTGGCCACAGGTGACGCTTTTACCGCTCATCAGTTTATTGTTATCAGTGATTATTGGCCCTAAAATTATTGCTCACACTCCGACATTCGCGGTGCTATGTAACGTGCGACACAATAGGTGCAATCATTGTTTTCGCACGTAGGCGCACCTGGCGCATGTTTGCGTGTGTATGTGGGGGACGAGGGACTAAAAAAAAAAATTGTGATTTTTTTTTTTTTT